TTTGAGGAGGGAAAAGAAACAAGACCTACATTTCTTTGCATTGCAAATTTACTTGCCTTCCCACAGTTTCTGGCTGAACATTTTGAGCATGTCCCCATTGGTGTCCTGTATGCCATGCACATGCTTATTTCTGAGTGAAGTAGTGCCATGTGCCTGTGGGCAGATGCCATAACTGCAAATCAATCTTGTACAAATCCATATCTATCCATGCGGAGCTGGGTTATAGCTATGAGGGAGAGATCAAGACTCAAAAAAGCTTCATATGGATGCTCCCACATCTATCTGCAAGAATTGACACATGCTGCTTAATAGGATGGCCCGATGTAATGCAGTGATATTGGACACAAGAGCTGTAAGCTGACAGGGAAAGAGATAATCTGAGGTGTGTTTCTCTCTGTGTTGTCTTTGTGTTGAGGCCATCTGCACAGCTGACTCACCTCAAGAAGCTTGACTGTTAGCGCTGGTGTGGGGCAGAGTTTTAGAGCTTTTCTGTCTCATCCCGCCGAGGCCCCAGAGACCCCCGATCTAGTTTATGCTGTCCTACTGCTGCTGCTTTTTATAGGCCCGGCCACGAGTGCACCAGCTTAGAGGATGGCCTCTGGGGAGCAGACCCATATCAGATGATCTGCACCCAGGCTGGTATGCAAGACTGTGCTAAGCCAACACACCCATACCTTATACACATATACACACATGTGCAAAGTCACAATTTACCACTGACTCATGTAGCCCACACAACAGACAATGATGTATTGTAGTCCTATATTAGACTCCTTCCTGACTACTTAGCCTCCTTGCCTCAAATTGCACTCAAACTTATATGGCACATCTCAAAACATATCTCCAAAGTGCTTTATGGAGATTAAACAAAATCATCAACAAGCCAGTGAAAGTAAAGAATATAAAGGCATGTCTGTTTCATAAAAACTCAAGAAAAGAGGATCATACCTCCTTTGTCACACAATGCAGACTCAGCACATTATTCAAATTCACTCATCAACTTTAGGTAAACTGATGTATCTCCTTTCTATGCTATGATCCATCAGCCAATGTTTTTATTGAGACCAGAACTCTGTGTGAGACTTATTGAGGGTCTGTTGCCTCTCGGGGAAGCCTGCAGGCGTACACCTGTGGAGCTGCTGAAAGGCCACCACAGCAGTCTGCTTAGAGCCCCTCAGTGCAAGTCCACAGAAGCTTGACTGATCTTAGTACAAAAACAATTGCTGCCAGCGAAGGAGAGGGTTTGGGAGATTGGGGGCAGGGGGTTTAGTGAAGTAGAGGAGGGAGGGGGGAGGGATAAAGCGTAGCAGGAGTAATCGCACTCAGTGCCCTGGGGTTGGCATGAATGAGGAAGTCACATACATATTATGTAACTTGGGGGTGGTTTTAAGGCTGGAAAATTACTAGAGTTACTATCTGTGTTTATGTCATCTGGCATTGCCAATGTCATACAGTAGCACGTCACCACCACTGTCACAATCATGTTGTGCGCATTAAAGAGAAGAAAAAAAGATCATGTGTCTTCTTGCTACAACTGAATTTATGTTGATGTCCATGGTTCCATTGTTTTCTTGTAATTTCATCTACTTTACAACCTGTTTTATAATTTACCTGGGATGGAGACTCTTTTTAGTAGTGGTAGTCTTTTTGATTTAGGAGGTCATGTCTTGGCATTTCACAAGACTACCATGATGATTACGTGATGCCAGTCACATACACACACACACACAGGTTCAGGTAAAGATTTTGCTTCCCAGGGACCTCAATTATCCCACACAATCATTTCACCTTCCATTTATCTCATCATTCCTATTTTTATCTCCATCTGAATAAATTAAACTGGACTCTGTAGTTTTTAATCTTTTCCTGCTTTTATTCTGGGACTGTCTCTTTCAATGACACATTTTTAATAGCTTTGACCACTTTTGGCTTTTGATTTCCTGTAGTTTTCACGAAAAAAAAGGAAAAATATTAGATATAGGCACAAGGCCTGGGTTATTATAGTCACTTTTGAACTTTGTACTTGATAAGTAGCTGAGAAATGTTTTTCTTCAGATATTTATTAAAAGAAGAAATACCTCTGGGTTTATCCAACGCTGTATTTTCCATAAAAGAGAGTAATGACCCACACTTTACCATCACTTTAACCAGAATGATGTAACATAACATACCCTAAAAAACATAAGTAATATGTGTTACAGTTATTAGACTAAACAAGAAATTTGTGGTAAAGTAAAATGTAAAATGGGGAAGGGATGTTATGTAAGCCATGATACAAACATTTGAATGAACTAGAGTTAATAAAAGCAGCAGCATTTTCTTTATTATTGATTAATATGCTGATTATTGTCCCGATTGATATTGAAATATATCAGAAAATAGAGACAATTGTGTTTCTCACAGTCTTATTTGTTCTGATCAATAGTCCAAAACAAAAAATCATCAGATATTCACAACTGAGAAGCTGTAATTTTGATTTCTTTTGCATTTTTGTTGAAAAAAAGAAAAAGATTCAAAATAATTGCAGGTTATTTTCCTGTCAATAAACTAATTGACTAATTGACAAATAGTTTCAGGCTCTAGAGTTAATGTGAGAATCTGTTGGCATGGTACATAACTTAACGAGCAGAACAATCCAGTAGTTTCCCCAGTTTAATGCCACAAGACCTTGACATAGGCTTGGTCATAGCAACATCTGGTGTCTGCTCTCTCTTGTGGGTCTCTGTGTGAGCCACCTCAGGCTGCCCTGCGAGGCTGGTAGCAGGTGTCAGACAGGCAGAGGCAGCAGAGTTCACAGCAGCATAGAGCCCCAGGCTTCCACCTCGCCAGGGGCAGAGATGGGAGAAACA